TTTTAGTTATCAATAATTATCCTAATTATAGTTTAGATTTTTTATATTTAAAATAAAATGTTTATCTAATATTTGATTATGTTTATCTGTATTTAGTTAAACGAATTAAAGTAATGAGCTTTAATAGGTTGTACTTATGCATAATTTACTTGTAATCTTAAATTTTAAGTAAATATGTATCAATAAACAATACTTCATGCATAAAAAATMRTTTTTAAGAGTTTTTATTAAATGCTTTATAATATAGTATAGATAATGAATATTCAATTCGTTTAAAATACTTATAAAATAAAAAACAAAAAAAAAACCTATTAAGATAAATGAAATACAAAGCGTACGAATGAGCTTTCAACAATCAGGTGGTCTTGACTTGATGTTGATGGCATCATTTAAGTAGCCCACATGAATTAATGGGCCAAAGTTTTAAGGCGCTGAAGCCCAAGTCATTTAGTATTTCTGTATAAAATCTGAAGCCAATCACATCACACTTTCTCCATTGCAAATTAGGGTTTATAGAGCTTATCTTCTCCCCGCCTCTGTCCAAAACTCTGAATAGAAGATGTTAAAGTGATGGCGCCACCGCTGTCCGCCTTAACTTAGAACCATCAACGCTCTGTCTTGGCCCTCGGTTTTGATTACCATCATCTCTTCCGTTCATTTATAGGGTTTTTTGGTTGTTTTTGTTGTAATCTTTTTCAACACTACATAACARTTTTATAGCAATGGGAAAGGTATCCAAGGCTGATAAGAAGATCGCTTACGATCAGAAACTCTGCCAGCTTCTCGACGACTACATGCAGATCCTTGTGGCAACAGCTGATAACGTCGGTTCCAACCAGCTTCAGAACATTCGACATGGTCTTCGAGGAGATTCTGTTATCCTAATGGGAAAAAACACTATGATGAAACGATCTGTCAGGATGCACTCTGAGAAGACTGGAAACAAGGCTTTTCTGAACCTCATTCCTCTCCTTGTTGTAAGTTGAAACTCAACACTTTCGTTTTCTACTTCACTATAGCCGATTTTTATAGATAGAGGCCTACTTCTGCAGTGTTCTTAAACAAAATTTCTCCCCTACTCGTGCGTAGTCCGAGCGTCCGTTTAGAGGATACAACTATCTAATTCGCGTTCTTGCACGAGAACATGAATCTGGCGAGATTCCTATGTGTTCATGGATCGTATATGGTGGGGAAAACCGGGAAGGAATCAAGCAATACTGGATATTATGATGCTGTCAAAAATTGGAGGGAAGACGAAGACTATATATAGTCCACAGCAGTTATGGGCGTTTACATGGTGGTTGTCCGAAAACGGATTAGGCCACTGTCGGTGAAGAGACCCGAGACCCCAAGAGCCCCAAGGCATCTTTGACCATTAATGTATATACCAAGCACCAAGCTTGATACATGGGTCTTGGTTCAAGTTTGACAAGGCTTATGGAATTAGCCTTATAAACCTCTCCAATTTTCCCTCTCCTTCCTATGTGGGATCAATTCCCTTAGTAAAATCCCAACAATACCCCACATTTTCTATTCAAACACTAATAATACCCCACATTTGAATAGAAAATAAGYAATACAAAGGACATATTGTTCTATTCCATGAAGTAAGATATGACATACATTTGAAAAGGTGTCGTTTGGACTTGAACCTTTCATAGTGAGTACAAATTGGATCCACCTTGTGGGTAGTGAACAATGTCTTGAACTAACCACTTTGTTTAGTAAATCTAGACAACAAGTATCACATACATCACATCTATCACATAGTGTAACTCTTACGGTTGTGTTCATTTCGGTCTTGAACGTATCCTTTCTTCATGAGATTCTTAGAGAACGTAGCCATCTCGGTCCTCATAGATGCGACCAAACATCAATCTCACATAGGTAATGCCAATCAAGAACATTCCGTATTGTCCCACTGTCAAAGCTATTAGCATTATTAAGAAGTACTATTCAACCCTTAATCGTCAACGGAAACACACAAAAATATCATAGGAATAAGCATACCTGTGTGTTAGATTGCGTCATGAGTTTTCCCCAACTAGTTGGCCAATTGAACCTAAACCATGGGATCTCCAATGTTGCTAGGTTAGGTTTCCGCCGATTTATAACTCACTGAATTGGCTTTAAGCCCATTCCCCTCGATGTGTATATGACTTGCTCTCTATTTAGCCCTTTCGTCAAAGGATTGGCTATGTTTTCTTTTGACTTTACATAATCAATGGATATGATTCCATTCTTTAGCAAATCACGTATAGTGTTGTGACGACGCCTTATATGTCTTGATTTACCATTGTATATCTGATTCTTTGCTCTTGTTAGAGCGACTATACTGTCACAATGTATACAAATAGCGGTGACAGGCTTCGGCCACAATGGTATACCTTCTAGGAAGCTTTTAAGCCATTCAGCTTCTTCCGCTGCTTTGTCTAAAGCCACAAATTCTGCTTCCATTGTTGAGCGTGTATTTACCGTTTGTTTTGATGATTTCCATGATACTGCTGCTCCACCAAGTGTAAAGCCATACCCACTTGTGGACTTACTTTCTGAACTATTGGAAATCCAATTGGCGTCACAATAACCTTCCAGAACATGAGGATATTTTGTATAGTTCATCCCATAATTCAAGGTGTGTTTGAGATATCAGAGCACTCTCACTAGTGCAAACCAATGATCTTTACCTGGATTGTGTGAATAGCGACTAAGTCTACTCACTGAGTATGCTAGATCGGGTCTAGTACAATTCATAATATACATCAAGCTCCTAAGCAATTGAGTATATTGCAGTTGGGACACACTATCTCCTTGATTTTTCTTTAATTGACTGGATGGATCAAATGGAGTGACCACCGGTCTATCGTCATAGTGCCCAAACTTTCAGAGAACTTTCTCAATGTAATGTGATTGAGACAAGATGTAACCATTAGAATTTCTTTGAATTCTAATACCACGGATAACATCAGCTATTCCCATATCTTTCATATCGAATGAGGAGTGTAGCATCTTCTTGGTTTGGTTGATAATATCCAAGTTGGTTCCCATGATAAGCATATCATCGACATATAAACATATAATAACATAAGCATTTTTGCGTTGTATAACATATACATATTTAACACATTCATTGATTTGGAAGTTGTTTGATAACAAGGTGTTGTCAAACTTTTCATGCCATTGCTTTGGTGCTTGTTTAAGTCCATAGAGGGACTTCACCAATTTGCATACCTTGTGTTCTTGGCCTTTAACAACAAATCCTTCAGGTTGTTGCATATAGATCTCTTCATCTAATTCGCCATTTAATAAAGCAGTTTTCACATCCATTTGGTGAATTTCCAAATTGTGAATTGCTGCAATAGCTATTAAAGTCCTTATRGACGTGATTCTTGTAACTGGCGAATAAGTGTCAAAGAAGTCTTGGCCCTCTTTTTGACGATACCCTTTAGCTACAAGTCTAGCCTTGTACTTTTCTATGGTACCATCGGGTCTAAGTTTTCTTTTAAATATCCATTTATGGCCAATATGTTTGTGTCCCGGAGGTAGATCAACCAATTTCCAAGTATTATTTTGAATGATTGAATCTATTTCACTATTGATTGCCTCTTTCCAATAAGGTGCCTCCGATGACTCCATGGCAACTTTATAGGATTGAGGTTCACCTTCCACATTGAAGGTCATAAAATCGGGACCAAGGTCTTTGGCGATTCTTCCTCGTTTACTTCTTCTAGGTTCTAACTCTTGTTGAGCGTTAGAAGTTTCATCATGAATGTTCTGATCACTTTGGTCTAAGGTATCATGACTTGTTTCGTCACAAGCTCTTTTCCTTGGATTGGAGAATTGTCCCTCTTTATCCCTATAAGGAAATATATCTTCAAAGAATTCTGCTTCTGCAGATTCTATGATGGTATTGACGTTGACATCATCAACRTAAGACTTGTATACAAGGAACCTATAGGCTGCACTATTCTTGGCGGGACCAAGATATATACAATCTATGGTTTTCGRTCCAAGTTTTGTTCGTTTAGGCAAAGGGACTTGAACCTTGGCCAAGCAACCCCACACTTTCATTCTTTTGAAGGTGGGCAACCTTCCTTTCCATAATTCATAAGGACATTTATTACTGTTTTTGTGAGGGATTCTATTTAATATCATGTTTGCAGTTAGGCATGCCTTGCCCCATAAGCTATATGGTGCCCCTGAGATTATCAACATTGAATTGATCATGTTCTTCAATGTTCGATTCTTCCTTTCGGCTACTCCGTTTTGTTGAGGAGTATATGGGGCCGTCGTTTGGTGCACAATACCATGAGAGGAGCAAAATTCAGCAAAGTCATTTGACTCATACTATCCTTCTCTATTGGATCTTAAGATTTTGATCCGTTTGTCGAGTTGATTCTCAACTTCGGCCTTGTATGTTTTAAACATATTCAGAGCCTCGTCTTTGGTATTGATTTAATACACATAACAAAACTTACTGTAATCATCAATGAAAGATATGTAATAGTTTTTCCCTCCACATGTTGGAGTTGCTTTGTAGTCCCACAAGTCACTATGTATTAGACCAAGTACTTCATTATTTTTCTCAACGRATTTATGTGGATGACTAGTGAACTTAGATTCTATGCATATTTCAYACTTAGTCTTTTTGTTCATTGAACAAGATGGTAACATGCCAAGTTTTGTCATTCTTTATAAACAACGAAAATTGACATGTCCAARTCGAGAATGCCATAAGGTAGATGACTYAATCATGTACATAGAAGTCGAGCCAGTGCTCGTTGTTTTATTGCTATTTACATTGTCATTATGTACARTGTTCATTTTGAAGAGTCCCTCGGAGAGGTAACCCTTACCAACATACATACCCCYTTTAGTAATTACAAACTTATCGAATTCAAACACAATCTTGAATCCCTTATTACTTAACATAGGACCAGAAATTAAATTCTTCCTAATGTCAAGTACATGTAGCACGTTTGTAAGAACGAGGTCTTTTCCGGAAGTGAGCTTCAGAATCACTTTTCCTTTGCCTTCTACCTTTGCTGTCGTCGCATTCCCCATAGACATCGGTTCTTCATCACTAACCTTTTGGTATGTAGCAAATGAGCCTTTGGTATTACAGATGTKTYTAGTGGCTCCGGTATSAAGCCACCAATCGATAGTGTTAGTCACCAAATTTGCTTCCACCACGCCGATGAATTGAGTTTCAGAATCAGCCATGTTGGTTTGGTGAGACGGTCCAGCACCTCCGCCACCATTTCCACCACTACCACCGTGATCTCTCTTGTGTCTACAATCTTTTGCYCTATGACCGGGCTTACCACACACCCAACAACTTAGGATGTGCGGCTTTTTGAAGTTCTTTTTCTGTGGGGCAAGAGAGTTTTTAAATGATGGTTTTGGGGCAAAGCCTTTGCCCTTAAATTTCTGAAACTTCCCTTTAGAGTTAATTACAGCCATCATATTTGCATTTGGCTCAAAGGAACTAGCATCGGCTTTTTCAGACAACCTGTTATCCTCCTCAACTCGGAGTTTGAGGACAAGTTGTTCAAAGCTCATATCATCAGTTAAATGTTTCAAGTATAATTTGAAGTTCTTCCACGACGGAGGTAACTTCCCAATTATAGACCCTACCAAAAAGTTAGAGTTGATGCCCATAGGCCACTACCGGTGAAGAGACCCAAGGCCCAAGGCCCTATCTTTGACCATTAATGTATATACCAAGCACCAAGCTTGATACATGGGTCTTGGTTCAAGTTTGACAAGGCTTATGGAATTAGCCTTATAAACCT